CTACCACCACTGTATCTATCTATTCTTTTAGTTCTTTCTGACTTGTCACGATCAAGTCTGTGTTGTCAGCATATGGATAGAAGTCAGAATCATATGTGTGTCTTTAGGATATTTTAAAGTGACAAATAACAACACTGAAAATACACTTATTTGACAAACGCCAAAATTGTCCTTAAGTGACTTTGCCATAGTGCCAGCAGTTCTGTCTCCCTAAGTTTATGAAGAATGATAGTTGCCCTAGAGTTTTGTCAGAAGCCTAGTACCAGTGATTTTTTTGTATGTGGGAAATGGTAGTTGTAGCTGAGAAAAAAATGTTTAATGATGACATTTATTGTTATTAGTATTCTTCCTCTTCTTCTTTATCTTCTGTATAGCTGTCTGTGCTTAGGCATTGCGAATACGCTTCATAATGCTGGATACTGGGATCATTCCATCTTGCGTTTGTTTCAACAGTGGTATCCAGAGTCGGCCGTTCAGAAACAAACTACTCAATGTAAAATTTCCAAGAAAACCCACAACAACCAAATAATACTGGGACTGGTTCTGCAGCGTCCTGTGAGGGACACACAATCTTTTTGTAATATAACTGTCTTTACTATATATGTACCACTTTTTAGGATGCTGTAGGACAGAGAATATTGAGCCTGAGGATTTCAGGCCACAAGGGTTTTGCAGCAGACACAGACTGCAGTTAAAAAATTTATTTTCATGTCTCATCATTTAAAATCTCATCACATTACTGAGGAATTGAACCTGGGTCTCCTGCATGACAGCCAAGCGTTATTAACCATCAGCTAGTTTCTCCTCTCTTCTTCTTCTCCTCCTTCTCCTTTTTTTATCCAGCAGTGGAGCATAGGCATTTGACCAAAAGGCATACAGCTTATTCCATGTCCTGCCCATCTTTTTCATCTCAGTCTCTAATTCTCTTCTCTTCTCATTTTCTGTTAAGAACGATCGGTCATTCGATTCCTGTAAAGAACGATAAGTCATTTGTTCCTTTAATTAATGATCACACATTTGGTTCCTTTAATTAACGAAAAGTCATTCAGTTCCTAAAAAAGAAAGATCAGTCATTCAGTTCCTGAAAAGAATCATACATTCAGTTCCTGAAAAGAATGATCATCATTAAATTCCTGTAAAGAATCATTACTCATTCAGTTCCTGTAAAGAATGATCAGTAATTCAGTTCCTGTAAAGAATGATCAGTCATTCAGTTCCTGTAAAGAATCATTACTCATTCAGTTGCTGTAAAGAATGATCAGTCATTCAGTTCCTGTAAAGAATGATCAGTCATTCAGTTCCTGTAAAGAATGATCAGTCATTCAGTTCCTGTAAAGAATGATCAGTCATTCAGTTCCTGTAAAGAATCATTACTCATTCAGTTCCTGTAAAGAATGATCAGTCATTCAGTTCCTGTAAAGAATCATTACTCATTCAGTTCCTGTAAAGAATGATCAGTCATTCAGTTCCTGTAAAGAATGATCAGTCATTCAGTTCCTGTAAAGAATGATCAGTCATTCAGTTCCTGTAAAGAATGATCAGTCATTCAGTTCCTGTAAAGAATGATCAGTCATTCAGTTCCTGTAAAGAATGATCAGTCATTCAGTTCCTGTAAAGAATGATCAGTCATTCAGTTCCTGTAAAGAATGATCAGTCATTCAGTTCCTGTAAAAAATGATCAGTCATTCAGTTCCTGTAAAGAACAATGTTCATGTTGACAAAACGATAAAATTGTGTTGACTGAGGACTAATAACAGTAACAATCCCTGCTAAAATCAGAATATTTGTCATGCTTACTGAGTTCTTCTTAAGTGAGTTCATATTAACACGGTTTTACTGAATATTCACATTTTCTCTGTGTGGGTCCTGCCCAGTGTTAAGTTATTGTTGTTATTTGCTATCGATTCATCTGCACACTGAGCTCCCACCCTCGGGTCCAAGAAACTTGTATTGAAACTAATCAACTGTTTCTGTTTCATTTAAACTGTTTCTTTGATCTAATAACTTCATGCTATTTACAAGATCTTCATGCTCAGAGGCATTTGTTCAATTCCAGTGTTTGTAATACTTGTTTCTTTTCTTCTTGTCTTCTCTAATTTATTTATCCATTTCATTTATTTAACCGTGTTTCATGTTTCAGTATTATCAAAGCAAACGTTATTCACTGTTGATGTTCTTACTTCATAGTTAGTTATATATGTAGTGTCAGAATTTCTCATCTGTTACCAATGTTAGAGCACTGAAGGCGTAGGTAGATAGGTGCTTTGCTCGAAATAAAAAAATATCGTCACATTCAACCAGCAAGCCGAAAGAGGGAGATTTAGGTTATAATTGTGACTAGGCTATATGCGCCATATAAAATGGCTTAGCATCACACGCCACCAAGAGCCCTGAAAAGGACTCCCGCAGTGTTGCAGTCATTGAGACAGCTCCAAATCCTGTCCCGACTGGCGATGAAGTTGTCTACTGCCGAGCCAATGGGCGATGTGCACTCAGGGCATGTCTGAATGTGCTGTGTCTCTGACATAAAACAATAAGAGCCGAAGTCTCTTCTCCTGTTTCTTCTTCTTCTTCAGCCCAGTAAGTCAGTAAAGAATCCTTTCCACACCCACATGCATATGATGCTAAGCTCTTTTATAGACCTTCATGAATGATGTGGTCAACATCACCTTAGCTGCCTTTACTTTCCAGAATATTACCTATTACCCAGTTCAGACTAGGTCAACTTGGGAGCCAAGATCATTTAAAAAAAAAAACAGTTATCTGCCTGGTGCGGATTTGACCCCAAGACCTTCATGTCGGCAGGTTAGAGTCTAGCCACTACACCACAACATCTCCCACTTCATACAGTGATGAAGAGTCAGTGCAGCTCTCCACCACTTTTCATTTCAGTTTGTAGTTCAGCTTCAAAGATTTGAGAAGCCATTTCTTATTGTTGATGTGTGTTTTTTTTAGTTATTCCTGTTCTGTTTATTTCTGACTGCTACCTTACACCTGTCACAATACACCTGTATTAGATTAGAAAAACTGTTGACTTGCTCAGGTGTCTTTTCATGTAATATAATTATTAAACCTTGCTTGGTTGAGTATGTGTGGACAGATTCTTCTCAACACATAATATAAGTAAAGGGTCTTTTTTGCGCCTTGGGTATGTAGAGCTATCTAGTGTTTTTTCCAGGAAAAAGAGTCTAAAAGGGTGCCGGCCCTCCCCACAAAGTTTCTGAACAGATGCTGGTACTCAGCACAAAGTGTATGTTTGTTTGTTTTAGTATCCAGAAGCCATGAGTTGTTAACCCTTAGGCTCGGTATTATGGATATCGCAACCTTTCGGCCTTGATTCCATTGTAAATACCGTAAATCTGGAAGAAAATGTGGCTTTCCTGCCTACCCCTGGGATTAAACTCGGACCACGGTCTCCGCGAAATCCGGTTTAGCCAATTCCGCTAGAGAGCCGGGCAGCACAAAGTGTATACCACAGTGACGCTGAAAGATGATGCAGAAAAAAAAGGTATCAGCACTGCAGACTGTCAGGGCAAAGCCCCTTTATAATATATACATACATATATATGGGATACTCAGTGGGTGATAGGTCAGTTTCACAACCACTTATTTACTTTCTCTATCACACACACCGACTTAATTCCATACTATGTTTTGTTAACTATTTGAAGTTAGGTACAAATGCAAAAACACAAGTTCTGGAACAATACTACAGTCCAGAAGTGGATGAGAAACCAGAATTTTCTGCCAGCGTTTACAGATGGTGAACGCCAGCAGTCTATGGGTTGTTTCGGGGGGAAGGGGAAATCAAGAATAGGTCCACTGCCCCCCCCCCCCCCTCCCTCCCTCCCCCTCCACAATAAACATGTCATAAAAGTAGACTGATTGGTGGTTCTTATCAGTCGGAGTGCACCTGCACGAGAGGCAAGGAGCCAACAGTCTGCATACAGATAGGTCGGATCTGTAAAGCGGATGTGCAACAAGTCTAAAGTCCAGAGTTGGATGAACAACCAGAACTTTCTGCCAGACTTTACAACTGGTGAACATGAATAAGAGGAATATGAAGAAGAAGATGATAATGATGAAGAAGAAGGCCAAGATAAATAGGTTTTGAAGAACAAATTGATAACTTGTCATTGCCTGTGTTTACAACCTTTTAGGGTAGTGTAGGACAGCAGGATGGTGACCCTGGGGAATTAGGGCCACATGGCAAAGGCAGTCACCACGAATGGGCAGTTTTAGTTTCTATTTTAGATAATGCATCACCTTATCAAGGATTTGAACCTGGGATTCCTTAATGAGTGCCCAGTATTCTTGACCATTTAACCAGCCGCTGCTCTGTACAAGACATAATCCATATTATTTTTTTAACCCTTCCCCCCACTCACACACACTGTTAACTTCTTTCTTTTTCTTCTTAACGTTCACGGGCTGTAAAATATGTCAGAAAGTTCTGGTTGATTGTGTATGTCTGAACTTTGGTCCTATTTCTGGCTCACTTGTATGTGGAGTGTTGGTTCCTCACCTCTCAGGCAGATGCACTGCGACCTCGAAGAAAACTCCCCTTATTAGTCGCCTTGCACATGCGTAGTAGGCAGTGGGTCTATTCCTCTCACCACCCCCTCCCCCTCCTTCAGAGTGGAGCCCCAGAATCTAGGCAGGGATCTCTGTTTAACTGTTTCCTGTGTTAAAGTTCATTGTGTATCCTTTACAGGACGTTGCAGAACCAACTCCAATTTTTTTTTAGCTGTTGTGGTTTTTCTAGGCAAATGTTACATTCAGTAGTCTACCGTTGCCTCTGAACGGTCAGCTCTTGGTACTACTGTCGAAACCAAGGCAAAACAAATCGTCTGCAGCTGGGGTCGAACCCGTCCCCCCAGCATTATGAAGTGCATTTGCAACGCCTAAGCCACAGATACTGACTGTAAGTTACATGCATTTGTATGTTACCTGTTTCTGTATGTTTAATCTTGAAGTACTGTTTATTATATCGCTTTCAGAGGTTGTTAACCCCAACTCACCTGGCACATATAGACCGCCACCCAGGACAAAAGAGGTTGTGATCAAAGGCCAAGTAATCAAATTAAAATATTGCTTCACCTGTAAAATATTCCGCCCTCCCAGGGCCTCACACTGCAGTTTGTGTGACAACTGTGTCGGTGAGTGTTTGTGCGACAACTGTTTTGTGTGATAACTGTGTTGGTGAGTGTTTGTGTGACAACTGTTTTGTGTGACAACTGTGTCGGTGAGTGTTTGTGTGACAACTGTTTTGTGTGATAACTGTGTCGGTGAGTGTTTGTGCGACAACTGTTTTGTGTGACAACTGTGTCGGTGAGTGTTTGTGCGACAACTGTTTTGTGTGATAACTGTGTCGGTGAGTGTTTGTGCGACAACTGTTTTGTGTGATAACTGTGTCGGTGAGTGTTTGTGCGACAACTGTTTTATGTGACAACTGTGTCGGTGAGTGTTTGTGCGACAACTGTTTTGTGTGATAACTGTGTTGGTGAGTGTTTGTGTGACAACTGTGTCGGTGAGTGTTTGTGTGACAACTGTTTTGTCTGATAACTGTGTTGGTGAGTGTTTGTGTGACAACTGTTTTGTGTGATAACTGTGTTGGTGAGTGTTTGTGTGACAACTGTTTTGTGTGATAACTGTGTTGGTGAGTGTTTGTGTGACAACTGTTTTGTGTGATAACTGTGTCGGTGAGTGTTTGTGTGACAACTGTTTTGTGTGATAACTGTGTTGGTGAGTGTTTGTGTGACAACTGTTTTGTGTGATAACTGTGTTGGTGAGTGTTTGTGTGACAACTGTTTTGTGTGATAACTGTGTTGGTGAGTGTTTGTGTGACAACTGTTTCGTGTGATAACTGTGTTGGTGAGTGTTTGTGTGACAACTGTTTTGTGTGATAACTGTGTTGGTGAGTGTTTGTGTGACAACTGTTTTGTGTGATAACTGTGTCGGTGAGTGTTTGTGTGACAACTGTTTTGTGTGATAACTGTGTCGGTGAGTGTTTGTGTGACAACTGTTTTGTGTGATAACTGTGTTGGTGAGTGTTTGTGTGACAACTGTTTCGTATGACTCTGTCGGTGAGTGTTTGTTTGACAAGCTGTGTAACTTGAGACCACTTGCATTAGTAGGATTTAATGTTAGCTAATTGGTAGTTGTGTAATTTAGTGTTAGCAGGGGTCTGCGTGTGTTCAATCTCCTGAAAGGCTTTTTTCACATGGACTTGAGCTTTTACTAATTCCCCCTGGTCTCAGGGTAGTGAGATCGGACGCCCGTGTGCATTGTTGCGCACAAAAAAAATCCATTGGCAGTTGGAAATCGAAAAGATTAGCCTAACGGCGCTGCCTGGGCACAATTTTGAGTTCAAAATCTACTCGAAGTATTTCAGGATCCTCGGCGGTGCTACAGAGCCTGTGCACTGTGCTGAGCTTCATCGGACTCAGACTTGAGTTAAAAAAGGAATGGAGCACTTATGGGTTACTACCTGTGTGCCATGATGTTGATCTGTTGTTCAAATCTCAAACCCAGGTCATGCAATTGTGTTAGTCTCAGAGATTCTTCATTAGTTCACCACAGGACTTGTTCCTCTTCGTGTTCACCAGCTGGAAACTTCTGTGGAATGTTCTGGTTCGTCAACCTCTGGAATTTAGCCTCGTTCCTGAACTTGAGTTTTGCATGCACATCCATTTGAAAGATCTGGCGTCTTATTTGAATGCAGACTGTTAGTTCCTCACCTCTTAGATAGATGCACTGCTGCCATATGGTGAAGTAACTTGGACAATGAACAGTCATCTAGAAAATAAAATTGAGTCTCTGGAGATGTTGGTATGCAGAAGAATAGGTCGTATATCATTTAAACAAAAACAGTCTGGTACAGAGGTTCTGTAAAAACTACAAATGAAAAGAGAATTGCTGGAAAAAATAAAAAAGAGACAATTGAAAAATTTTTTTGCCACATTAAAAGACATAACACACTTTTAAAAACCACACTGGAGGGAAAGGTCAAAGGCAAGATAGCAGGAGGTGGGCAGCGATACAAGTTGGCGGACAGCACCAAGATGGGAAGCAGTCTAGGAGAGTGTACATAGAACAAGAGAGCGGGTGTGTCGGAGATCCACTGCAGCCAACCATCACTGTGGAGACGGCACCGAGTGATTGACTCAAGGAAAATACCCCTAATTAGTCGACTTTCACAACTTGCTTGTTATGGGGGCAATGGGAATATTCCTGTGACCCTCAAAATGGATCCTGGAACCCACACAGGAAAAACTCAGCTCACCTCATTTGTTTGGATGGATGCACTAATTAGTGTCATGTGGTTACATGACTTCACGGATGTTCTATCTGTCTGGGACACTATTTGGGATACTATCTGTCTGGGACACCATCTGTCTGGGACACCATCTGTCTGGGACACCATCTGTCTGGGACACTATCTGTCTGGGACACTATCTGTCTGGGAGCACTGTCTGTCTGGGACACTATCTGTCTGGGACATTATCTGTCTGGGACACTATCTGTCTGGGACACTATCTGTCTGGGATACTATCTCTCTGGAACACTGTCTGTCTGGAACACTATCTGTCTGGGACACCATCTGTCTGGGACACCATCTGTCTGGGACACCATCTGTCTGGGACACTATCTGTCTGGGACACCATCTGTCTGAGAGCACTGTCTGGGAGCACTGTCTGTCTGGAACACTATCTCTCTGGGACACTATCTGTCTGGGACACCATCTGTCTGAGACACCATCTGTCTGGGACACTATTTCTCTGGGACCTGTCTGTCTGGGACACTGTCTGTCTGGGACACTGTCTGTCTGGGAGCACTGTCTGTCTGGGAGCACTGTCTGTCTGGGAGCACTGTCTGTCTGGGAGCACTGTCTCTCTGGGACACTATCTGTCTGGGACACTGTCTACCAGGGACACTATCTGTCTGGGACACTGTCTGTCTGGGACACTGTCTGTCTGGGACACTGTCTGTCTGGGACACTGTCTGTCTGGGACATTATCTGTCTGGGACACTGTCTGTCTGGGACACTATCTGTCTGGGACACTGTCTCTCTGGGACACTATCTGTCTGGGACACTATCTGTCTGGGACACTATCTGTCTGGGACACTGTCTGTCTGGGACACTATCTGTCTGGGACACTGTCTCTCTGGGACACTATCTGTCTGAGACACTGTCTACCATGGACACTATCTCTCTCTGATTGCTGAGCAAAAGTGTGTGCCAGCAGCATTTGTTTTTCTGTGTGGATAGATATTTTGACCAGACAGTTGACATGATCTCAAAGTCTAAGCTATTGTGTGTAGTCCTTTAAATAGTTATATTATTGTCCATGTTTTTTGTAGGCTAGTGAAGACTTTTTGTCTGTAAAGTTCTTTTTTTGCAAAAAAAAATTTGTAATTGTGTTTTATTGGAAAACTGACGTGTGTGCGTTTGTGTGTGTGTGTGAGCGTGTGTTTGGTGAGCTGAGGTGAGGTGAGTTTGTTTGTTTGTACAGAATGAGATAGGTTAACCTATGTCACATTGATTCTTTCCAGAACGCTTTGACCATCATTGTCCTTGGGTCGGCAACTGTGTTGGACGACGGAACTATCGTTATTTTTACTTGTTCATCTTATCGTTATCACTGCTGTGCATATATATCTTCGCCTGTGCACTGACACATCTGATTTTACGTGAGTAACACAAGTCTGGTTTATCTGCAGTTGTTTTTGCTAGTTCCTGTTTGTGTCTGCCTCCTGTCTGCCTGTTGTCCAGTGTGAGGACCTTTTGTGGTTACCTTTTCCTGTCTGTCTGATTTGTGTGTGTAGGTGTGTTGTGTAAATTTGTTGTGTGTATGTGTTATGTGTGTGCAGATGTGTTGTATGTGTAGATTTGTTGTGTGTGTAGATGTGTTGTGCCTGTGTAGATGTGTTGTGTATATGTAGATGTGTTGTGTGTGTGCAGATGTGCTGTGTGTGTATGTGTTGTGTGTGTAGATGTGTTATTTGTGTAGATGTGTTGTGTAATGTAGATGTGTTGTGTATCTGTAGATATGTTGTGTGTGTGTGTGTAGATATGTTGTCTGTGTGTGTAGATGTGTTGTGTATATGTAGATGTGTTCTGTGTGTGTAGATGTGTTGTGTATCTGTAGATATGTTGTGTGTGTGTGTGTGTGTGTAGATGTGTTGTGCCTGTGTAGATGTGTTGTGTATATGTAGATGTGTGTTATGTGTGTAGATGTGTTGTGTGTTAAGATGTATGTGTATAGATATGGTGTGTGTGTGTGTGTGTGTGTGTAGATGTGTTGTGTATATGTAGATGTATTGTGTGTGTGTAGATGTGTTGTTTGTATGTAAATGTGTTATGTATATGTAGATATGTATATGTAGATGTGTTGTGTATATGTAGATGTGTTATGTATATGTAGATGTGTTGTGTGTGTAGATGTGTTGTGTGTGCGTAGATGTGTTGTATTTATGTAGATGTGCTGTGTGTGTGGATGTGTTGTGTATATGTAGATGTGTTATGTATATGTAGATGTGTTGTGTATATGTAGATGTGTGTAGATGTGTTGTGTATATGTAGATGTGTTGTGTGTGTGTAGATGTGTTGTTTATATGTAAATGTGTTATGTATATGTAGATGTGTTGTGTATATGTAGATGTGCTGTGTGTGTGTGGATGTGTTGTGTATATGTAGATGAGTTATGTATATGTAGATGTGTTGTGTGTGTGTGTAGATGTGTTGTGTGTGTGGATGTGTTGTGTAGATGTGTTATGTATATGAAGATGTGTTATGTATATGTAGATGTGTAATGTAAATGTAGATGTGTTATGTATATGTGTTATGTATATGTAGATGTGTTGTGTAACTACAGCTTTTGCTTGTCCTGTTTTGTTTGTTAAAAATCTTATATGGTTACTTTTTCCTTTCTTTCGGTTTCTTTCACTACCTTTATCTCTCTACCTCTCTCTCTCTCTCTGTATGCATGTGTGTATGTAGGATATATATATATCTATCTATATATCCTACATACACACATGTACATAGTATGTAGTGAAAGAAATATATAGATCTTTTTACAACAAACAAATATATATATATAATATATATATATATATATATATTTATACTATATATATATATTTGTGTATATAT